CGCTAGCAAGAAATCTCAGTTTACCTCCGACTTGGTGTCTCAATGGACACATTTTGTGGATTCATAGTCTCAGATGGAGTATGATGCTAAATCAGTGGGGGTCATGACACACAAATAAATACAGACTGAAGCCCAGAGAGCATCCTTCCTGGAGTTACCATTCAATCTGTCTCTATATTCTCTGCACATCTTTTCTGTGCCTGACAAAACCTTTCCCCCGCTCTGTGCTGATCTCAGAGCAGCCGTCACTCTGAGTTCCTCTCGATGACTTGAGAATCACAAAAGAGGCCAGTGAGCTCTGTCCTGCCTGGGAGCCCAGATGTCACATCATTGGCTGACTCCAGGGGTAGCAGAGGGTCATAATTAAACTTGCTCACACCGCATTACGCCACCATGGTAGTAAGTGCTCGAGGGGGCACGCGATATTCAAGGAGGCAGTGAGTATTTGTGGACGTATGTGTGTGTCTAAGGACTGGCTATTCATAACCCCCACTATAACCAACCCCATCATGTCCTGCCTCACACCCATCACCCTCTGCCTCCAGACACACTCTATGTAGGTCACTCCATGTGTTAGCACAGCTGCAGTATGAGGATTACACAGCTACCCCAAGATGGACCTTTTAGCAGATTAACATCAGCACAATATTTATTATTTTAATTTCTTCTAGCCAGTCATCTTTCTATTATTGCAGCATGTCACAGAAAGTTCATAAATCTGCTCAGTTTCGGTAAATGTTGAGTTGTAGCCACCTTTCTGCTGATTCATGCTTAATTAACCCTGCATTACACCTGACCCTGCAAACTAAATTACCACAATGCAACACAAAGACATCAATTGTTGCATCATTGCAATGTCCTGCATCACCGTAAATGACCTCACTCTCCTCCTGGGTGATGTTCTAGCTGGTGGGGTGTCTGTGCTTTCCACGCAGCTAGGGATGATATCATTACACCGCCGTCCATGGCTCGGCGCCGAACATGCAGTGATCTTAATAATGAGCACCTCCTGACATAATCTGCGCCTGCTTTTCCTCAGTCTCTCTCCCTTTCCAGCCTACGGTAACTAGTCATTAGTATTAGGGAAAAGATAGGGGAGGGATGGGGGAGGCGAAGTGATGCAACAGCACTTAACATGACTGCAAAGTTTAAAATATTTGAAAATTCATGTTGGATGGTGAAAATGTGAGAAGAGCCGTGGGAGGAAGAGATAAGGAGAATAAATTAGTCTCAAATTAGTTTAACCAGTGTGTTTGCCTTTTTCTATGCTCATCTTGGCAAGACATGGCTCTCCTCCAGAGTTATACTAGAGTGTGCTGCTAAATGAATGTGATTCTGAGGTGTTAAACAATCTCAGTAGACGACTTTTCAATTATCTCACATACATATGTTGTATTCATCCTGATTAGTCTGTGGGATTTTATTCGAGAGATGAGTTACATATTCTACATTTCTGTCTTTATGTGGTGAAAAAGAGAGGTGTTTCTGCACATAATCAAACTGTCTTATACAACATGGATAAAGTCATTGTTGACCTGCAGTGGTTTACATCTGAAAGGCCTTGGTGATGGACGAAATCTGGCGAATCAGCACTATATGCTGCAGCAAAAACTGCCAAAACATTTGCCTTGCAGCCATTCTTACACATAAGACAATGTTCCTCTCTGTACAGGTTAGTGATTTATTTGTGTACTTAAGTGACAGAGGTGCAATTAGCTCATGATGCAGTTGATGGGGTTAGTTGTGTGTTAACTGTGGGGAGGCTTGATTATAGTTGTGTAGATAACAACCGCTATGATACATGTGTTTTTCATAGCCTTGCAGTGTGAGTCACCCCAGTGTGTGTGTCTACGTGTGTGGATGTTTTCCATTTTTCTATCCCTCTCCTGCTCTACTCCTCCCTTCTTTTTCCTGTACCATCTTTCACAACTCCGGGTATTAATTATGGAAAAGTAGAAGCTCTGAAAGTTGGGTTTGGTCCCTGTATGACTCACTGACAACTCTCAGGCACTGAGATGTTCGAACATTGGGAAGAATGTGTTTAACTTGAAATTCGTGTTGTCTTCCGTACTGCTGACAGGAAGGGATATGCATATGAGGGCGGAGAACTCCAACTTTGTGTCTTATTCCCGCTACTTCAGCAGAACAATGAAGGTCATCCTGGATCCTGACTCAAAAGACTGCTTGGAGACTACAGATTTACTCTAATGTACTAAACTGTCCAGGTCTCCTTCCCTTCCTCCCTTTGTTCCTCCTATTAGATTCAACAAATCTGATTAGGGTTTCTGGAAGGAAGACAGAAAGATCCATAAACTCTGCAACAAGACCCATGCTCTCTAGTAGTTCCTGCCAGGAAGGATCCCCAAGGATGTGCGTATGTATGTGCATGGGCTTCCCCCATCACGTGCATGTAGCTAAACTGCTTATAAGCATTTGCCAAGTGACCCTGTGCTCCTCTGAGCAGAGAAGATTCATTGAGAGCTGAGAGTCCATTCTGATATACGAGTGGTTTCATGTTTCGATTAAGCGCAAACAAAGTCGTTCTGACATCGTGTTAGTGCATTATGATGAGGCGGTGCACTCATATATCTCAATGAAGGACACAAAAAAATCAATAGGACCGTCTGGCTGCGTCTCTGGTCGGCCAGTCTGTGCCAGACCACCAATCCCCCCCCCTTTTTTTTCATTTAGTATCAGCTTAAAATAAACACAGCTTTGTTCACAAAGTTTTTCTAGACAACTAAATCCGAGGAATGTTCTTTCTGGTGTGTGTGACATGTTGTTATGATCTCTGTGTTTTCTAAAGCCCACCCTTTGCTGGTAGATGTTACAGTCTATCATTTCGGGACTGGCTCCCGCTCCTCATCCTGTCAGCATTATAACCTGCAGCTCTTTCCTCATATCTTCCCATTCATGGATCGACGCCACGGTTCTGACGCATGGCCACCTCTGTGTGCCAGATTCCGTGCGCTTGAACCGTGCGCCTGATCCGTGCCAAACCTCTGCACCGTGTTGGCTGACCAGACAACTGTACATTTACACCGATTTCACCACACGTGCGGCCATTTTTTGTTACCCATCCGAGCCATTGTGGCGTGCGCACACTTGTAACTAACCCATCCGCTGTATCCTTCCTCATGCAGGAAAAAGGAAAAGGTTCCACAAAAGGCGCCCAACGCAGAGTGATATGTGTCTGATTAAAGCCTGTTCCCACAGCAGAGCGGGCTCTATTGGGGGGCAAACCTCCCCTTCTGTCAAACTCTACTGCACCTCAAACACGGCAAAGTGTCTTTGTCTCCCGTTTGAACGAAAGAGGATGAATGAATCCAAATTATTCACAACACAAATAAGATCACGAGCCGTGACTTACCTGTAAATCGTGCTTTTGAGTTCGCGGTAGACCACCGACCGTCCCGGTTGGACATTCAGGCCCCTCTCAGCTGTCTGTCCTGCATGGTCCCGCAGCAGACTACCAGAGAATACGACGCCAATCAAACAGCCACGCCCCGCCTCCTCCCCTGACGTCATACAGCATTGACCAATGGCAGCCAAGGTACAACACTCAGTCGCTAAGTGAATACATTGTAGCATTTTCACAATGTCATACACACAATCGTCCATTCACATAAATACATGTTAGCGTTCTAACAAATACATTAAGCCTAGGCTATGACAAATAATATTAAAGTCGGTTTATAAGTATAGGCTAGCTATGTATGTAAAAAACTAAAGGCATATTTTTTAGTAAAGTATATAAGTAAAAGACAACAAAACAACTCTAGACCTACATGCACAGGCCACGTACATGTGCTAATACACCTACTGCGATTTGATAAAAGTTTGAAAAACTCCCTTTAGAAAAAACCTTAAAATGACAATAAATGAGGCTAGATATTATTAGTCCTACTAGCCAACACATGAGACTAATTCACAAGCTAAAACTAAAGCTAGCTAAAGAGACTGTTAGCAAGCAGTTAAAATGGCCTCGCTTACTCACTTAGTCGTTTATTTTTAACATAATCTGTTTGTTTTATATTATACATGCAGGTCCCACAGCAGCCACAACTAGTTTTACCAGATTTATTTAAGTGTTTGCATTCATTTTTCTCCTGCTTTCATCAAATCTCCACAGTGAATCCAAGCCTAGCTCTGAGGAAAGCCATGAAACAGCATGGTAAATCTTCAAATTATTGTTCATTATCGTCAATTTTACTTTTTTATAATCGTTACGTACTGAAAGTAAAATGTTTGTCACATGCATCTGAAACTCACCAAACTCCCCCTCTCTGAATGTTTTTAATTCCTTAGATTATCTAATTTGCAATGCAGTCTGTCTGTCTGCAGTGTCTCCTCTTAACTGCTTGATTGTGTGCTATGGGCCGATTTGATGTCAGGTTGCGGTAGGCTAACCACTCGTGTAATTGCAATAATGCTCCTGGAAATGCCATTTCTCCCTTCATTTAGTTTCAGAGTAGGTAGGCCTACTTAACCGTATGGCCACAAGAGAGCGCCATTAGCTAATCAATTGGTAGCCTTAAACTGACTGATGTTTTCTGACTCTAGGCTTTTACTGGACCATTCATGCTTGTTAGACCAGATTAAGATGTACCCTCGCATCATTACCCAGTGTCATGGAGCTATATTACTGCTATACAGTCATGGATTTCAGCTGGGAGGCAAGGTGCAGCACAGCAAGTCCAAACTTGATCTCTTCATGAGATCAAGCATGAAATGTGTCAGGAGAGCATGTAAAAAAACAATCAATGAAGAATGTTCACTCAAATCTCCCAACAGGGCAAATAATGAATCCCATATTATATATTTAATATGTTGTCAACCATCAATCATGGCTCCAGTCTGCTAAGGTATGTCTGACATTTTGAAATGTCCAAACAGGGTTCACGGTTTAGTAAATCAACTCCCAGACTTCTAATCTCCCCAATCTGATAAAAATGTGATCCATTTCGCCTATCAAACAGACACACAGAAGTACATTTCTTCAAACAATTAATCTTTAATAGCACAATTATACAATACAATCAACATGCCCTCCCCAAACTGTACTTTTATGTTTCACAGATGATATATCTGGATAAACTATTTACAATGTTATGGCACAGACTATAAGCAGTTGTGACTGTAGCTGATGAGTTAGGACGAGGGGTTGAATATGTGGCGGCTCATAAAGGTAAAAGGAGCAGAGGCAGGGTGGTCATTTTGTGGAGGAGGGTATGTAGTGATGGTAGAGGTCAGAATGTCAGCAGGGCAGCAGCGAGGTTGAGCCAACACTGATGAAAGCATCACCACATTGATGGGTCATATCTGGAGAGAGCAGCAAAGTGCAAGGTCAGATTAATGTTACATCATCATAGAGCTGTTACACTTACAGTTTTACACACACCTCGACTGTGGGAGCGTGTCTGTGCTTTCCTTCAACAGCAGCTCTGAGACCAGTGTGTCCAGAATCTCAGGACTGGACCTCTTTCCATACCTGAGACACAGAAAAGGAACAGACAGATAATTAAATGGCTTTGCTGTGACATTGACCTTTTAGCTGATGACATATTAAAAAAACATCACAGATAAAAAGTTATTTATCTGCTTGTCATTAATGTATAAGTCAGTTAATATTGAACCCAGTAACACTGAGACCCTGCAGGGCCAGAGAGGAGTTGCATAGCAGGGGGCCACATTTCATTTTCGGTGCTTCAGATGATAAGCTGTGTTGGCGCGCTTGTCCCCCCAGGTGGCTAAACGCCTGCAGCTGGCATTCAAACCACTGACATTCAGAAGAAAGCTGAAAACAGTGGGGAATTGGACCCGCCATGCAGTCACAGTCACTTCTTGATAGCTTGTTTTTTGTTACATGATGTGGTAAAAGGGCAGCGGGTGTTCCCTGTTCAGTGCAGCCAAACCACGACCCCAACATACAAAACTTTAGGACTTTTATTTTCACACCTTGTTTGTTTGAGGTCAAATAATTTGGGCTTTATCTCAAAATTAACCTATACGTCAAAATCATAACTGATAAGTCTCACATTTTGTGGAAAGTTTCCTTTTTAAGACTAATGTTAAATCTGAGCGCAGACACGATTTGACATGTTTTCTGTGAAGTCCACTGAGACAAATGTAACATTTGTGATATTGGGCTATATAAATAAACATTGATTGATTCTGTGAATCCTTGCAGTCATGATAATAATTAACTGGCCAAAATGAATGTACATGGAAATTGTCCACAATTAAGGGCTATTAGGGAAAATGGCTCACAATAGAATATAAGCATCACTAAAAAACAAGCATATTTGATCTTAAAGTAGTCATCTCATTATATTCAGTGGTGCACATTTTCAGAATTAGACATAATATAATTAAATATAATACAATCTCCCAGCAATATAGGACAAAAATGGCCAATCCAGTCAGAGAAAGTGCTCGTGGTAATAACTCCAGCTCTATTAATGAAAGCAAAGAGGTGAAATGAGTCCGCCTACCTCTGTCTTGTGATGAGGTTGATGTAGTGTCTCAGGGCTGAGTAGTACTTGGCCAGATCCTCCGCCGGGGCGTCCTCCCCGGGGTTCTCCGGTTTCATCGGGTACCCCTCCGTCAGGGCGCCCAGGCACAGCAGCGCCCACAGCAGGAAGCCCAGAGTCCCCAGCCAGCTCACCAAGTTAGGATGCATCTGACAGAGAATTACAAAAACAACCGTTAAACTGTTAGTCCCTCACTGGCCACTTGTTCCACTGTGCGTAAAAGTTCCCCTTTCCGTTTTTAAATAATGCCTTATTGATATCATTAACTGAAGATTCAACGCTAGAGCCTTAAGAATGTAATAGGTAGAAGAAAACAAAAATAAACATGCCCACATTATTGGTAATAGATTTTCAATAATAATGCAGCTACAAAACTACCATCAAAAGTCATGTCGAAAGACATTTCACAACAGAAATAGAAAAGGTTTTGTAAATCAAGTATTAAGGCACTTACTTTGCCTAGAGTTTTGAGGAATGTTCTCGCGCTGTCCTGAGGCTCTCTTCTGCTCTTCTGGGTGCTTGGTGCGCGCTCGGTTTTATATCTGTGTGCGGCACACGCGCTGCAGAAAAACGCGTCAGAGCTGCGTTCAGCAAGAGTCTTTCTTCACGTGAACGTCACCGGTGATGCTGTCATTAGGGTGCTTTAAAATAAAGCTGTTTACACACATTTAATACACGTAAAGTAACTATGTACACTAAAAATAGAATCAGTTAATAACACTTTTCTGCAACCATTCAATAGAGATTAGTTAGGAAGTCGTTTTTAAAGAATGTGACCAATAACATTTAAGGATATCAAACAGATTAAAACCCAATTGATTTTGCAGTAATTATGTTATAACCCACTTGATGAGTTCACTACAACGTCACTGTTGAGCACTGATACACTATATTTCATTTGGAAATATTAATGTGTAGTTCATGTAACAAATAGTATATAGGTGTATGTGTGTGTGTGCATTTGGCACATACAGCCCCTCTTAAAATCTGTGGCATTCAAACACACACACACACACACACACACACACACACACACACACACACACACACACACACACACACACACACACACACACACACACACTGCCAAGCAGATTGATGCACACATGCTGAGTTTGATGTTTGGGTGTTTATGAAGCTTCTCTATGAGGAAGGTGATACATTATTTCCCAATCAAGTAGTGATTCTTCTACATAATGAGATCAATAATCCCATCTGAAGTCACACAAAAAAAATGGCAGTGATGTGACTCCGTGGGCGAACATCAAATGAATCGTTCTGAGCCTACCAAAGGATGCTCCAATGAGGACGCTTTGGGTGATCTGGAATAAACAAGATCTCAGAAAGACTCACATATACATGAGCCCTTTTTATTCTGTTCGACTGAATCAGTCTAATTTCGCTTTGCAGTTCATTCCATCAGGAAAGAGAGACTGGGACACTCAACGTGAACAAAAGGCCTAAATATGAATCAAGTCACGTCAGTCAAAGAAGAGCCCAATCTCCCACTTAATAAAAAAAAAAGAAATAGCATGAATATCACCAAGTGCTTCATTTACTTCCTATTCATGAACCTTTTGTATACTGGCTCGGAGCCATATAATCTATCAAAACCCCGTATTCTTCATCACTGCTGCTTTTTAAGTTGCGACGAGGATGCGTTAAGGGCTTTTTGTGTTACACAGGATGTTGAGAGGGAGATGAGGAATGAGACACGAGTGTGAGAACATGGAGCACAAAGTCATGACCGAATCATGATGATCGCAGGCAGGAATCAGAACTTCTAGTCCTCTTCAGGGGATACACACTCTGTGGCTCACTTCAATAGGTATAACACCTTTTTCAAGGAAACAGCTTGTGTTTGCAAGTGTCTGACATGTGAATGAAGCAGATGTATAAAGCATGTCAAGAGGTCAGTAAATGTTTGCTTAAACATCAGAGTAAAGTGACTAAACTCAATAAGATAATCCCGGAAAGATGCTCAGTGTTTAAGAGATGACAATTTAAAATTTGGCCAAATGATCATCCTTTGAATGCAAAAGTAATGTATATTTGAAGCAGGAAAAGCTAAGATGGAAGAGGCTAGTTAAGGTAAGCTAAGAACAAACAACACCAGGAGTGTTTGGTCATGATAGCAGCTTTTTGAGGTTGTGCTTACAGCAGTGCCTTGAGCTAAATGCTAACGGTATCTTGGCAACATGCTCAAAATGAGTGCCTGATGCTTATTAATTAACACTAGGTGACTAATGCTGGCATGTTGATGTCAAGCAGGCAAGCGATGATGTTAACCATGGTCCCCATTTTAGATTAGAATTTAGAAATGAGCTAATTAGTACTAAGTACAGCTGAGGTAGATGGCAATGCCCTTCATTAAGCAGGTATTTGGACATAAACTAAATGTAACTGTTGGCCTGCTGATGGCATTGGAAAAGAACTTAGACGATAATCAAGGTTATTAAAGTTAATAGTGAAGGAAACAACAGAATGCAGAAGTGGAGATACTGGGGGAGACTGGGGGCAATTGTCACAACTTGGGTTCATGATGGCATTACTAAAAACCTCTTCGACTCGAAATGTTTACCTAGATAATGCGTTCTGTGTTTTACTTCTTACCAATCAAGTGTTTTTACAAGCAATGTTAAAGTTACAATATTGATTGAAAAATTAGAACTCAAATGTTACATCTGCCTCCTCAAACAGGGACAATTGTAACAGCATATGGGAAAAATTGTAAAATCACACGTAATCCTTTCATTTAAATACCAAGGCCAACAATTAACTCCAAATAATTCAGACATAGTTCAATGATTTAATATTCATTGAACAATTAATTGCTTTCATTCATCAAATCCACGTGGGGGATGTATTTTAACTTTTTGAACAGCACACATCTTTTCCAGTCAAACAGCCTTTAGAAAATCAGAAAGGGAAGTAGATAACAAATAATGAACACAGGAAGAAATAACTGTTGATGTCAGTGCTGCTACTACAGATGGAACATTTTAACTTATCATCAATGGATCACCACCTTCATTGTGGGACATTAGGGACATTTCCTTCAATGCATTTTACAGCGACAGCCATTAGTGACTCAAGGTGGGTCTTACCCTTTGAAGCTCACATTGATATTCTGTTAAACATATGCAAACTAATAAAAGGTAATTAACACATTAAAGTCAGCACCATGCAGTTGGAAGATGGTTTTCCTAAGGCATTTTATTTGGTTGTTTGCAGCTTTATTATCAGTGCACATACAGTGGATTGATTCAGTCTCAGCCTGTATTCTATTATTGAGGAAGAAGCTCCTGTAGACCAAAGACAGATGTGACAGGTGCAGATGGAGTTCAGGGGAATTATGGTCATTAATTTTGATCAACATCAGCCCTAACAATCAATGCTATTAAAAAGAGCGCTGCCAATCATCTCCACTACAGTCACGGTTGTTTATGCTAACTAGACCAATTGAAATACTTACAATTAATGTAACAATGATGCCTCTCTAATGGTAGCACCTTCAAGATTCGATAAGGTAAAATAAACCTATTAATCCCAATAGGGAAATTCAGAGAAGCAATAGCATAAGAGTGGAATACAGGTAAGAGTTCAGACCACACAAGGATAACAAGAATAAAACATGAAAGTGTAAGTATTCATAAAAAAACAAGGACAATAGGATTAGGTCAAACTAGGGAGGTATTTCTTTCCTGAACTTTATTCACTGTAACCAGAAATCATTTCTGTAAAGAATGAGTGCTAGAGAGCGAGCTGTTTAAATGCAAATGTGTTTCTCCCTCCTCCCCTCAGGCGCCTGGTTTGGACAAGAAATTCTCTTTCAAGATTTGTTAAGATGAAAAGGCCTGTAATTTTCTGCTGCTGTGAGTTTCAATTTTCACAACTGTTAAAGAAAATACCGACAAGAAGGATGCTCTATCAGGCAAGGTACAGAAAACTGACTGGGAGAAACAAGTGAGAAAAGGCAGAATCTTGTGCTTCTTTAGTGCTCACTTTGCTATAACACCTCTTATATACAGACGTCTGACATGTAAATTGCTGCTTCTACCACGCTATTGTGCTATGGTGACAATGTGTTACCTCTGGTAAGCAAGCACTACTATTACTAAGAGCATCGGCAGCTCCCTGTATGGAAATGTGGGCTGAAACTGCAAATGGTTATTTAAGGTCTTTATATAAGGTTCATATTGTCATTTTAAGGGATATTGTCATTGTTTAAATCAACTAAAATTACAATTTGACCAAACTTTATTAAAGAAAACGTGTTTTTTGAGCTAAGTTGCTTCGTCAAATCAAATAGAAAATGCACATCTTTTAGATTGCATTACTGATTCAACGTTATTTGCATAAATTACAACTATAATTGGCTTGTTTTTACAGAATTGGTCTTCAACCCAAGGAGCATAATTTCTGCTACCCACTTCGCTGAACCATTTGCTATCAAGGAGAGCAATTCCCTAAATTGCTCTCCTTTGTTTTGGATTTGACATTAGTTGACAGCCTTCAAAAGCAATTACTGAGCCTTATGAAATCTCGGAGAGCTCAAGCTTTTTTCCACTCTCAGTTCAGAGAAAGACACATACTGACAACGGCTAAATGAGGAAATAACAAGAAATTATTTCCTTTGTCATCGTCTCTTTTATACTGTTATTGCTCTAATTAAGCCCCGTCTTATCTGGTGTCATAGCGTACCTGTTTTTATCTCTTCTCTCAATACCCCTTTCCCTTTTCTGTGATCTATGTGTCTGTCTCTGTGTTTGTGTAAATGTGTCTTTGCCACATCTGCTCCTGGGGAGAATGTGACATCATATAAGGTCTTGTGATTGACAGATGAACAAAAGGTGAAGCCACCACGCCATGACAGGTTGACTTGGCTCAGGTGTGTGCAGGTCATAGTACTGAGACCCTGATACAAGGAAACCTGATGAAAGTTGTTACTATGTCAAAGGCCACTAAACTTTAGTTAAATAACTCCTGTGACCTATGTGAGACCAACATAGTCTGGATGTATCACTGTGATGTCAGGTAGTCTGCGTGTTTATCGAACCTGAAAGACATTTAATATTCATAAACATCAAATCAGATGCTAATCAAGCTCATAAAAGTGTTGTCTATCAGTAACATATCCTAGATACCTTTTATGTTTTTATTCAGTGGTTTAATGCAATAGGAGGTTCAAGGTTCAAGGTTTTTTATTTGTCATATGAACATAGCTACAGTTATGACGATGAAAATCTTAGGTCACAGGCTCCTCCAACAGTGCAACACAAAACACAGATAAACAGAAAAATATAGTGCCAGTAAATAGTAAATACAAAAAGAAAAATAGTTTAAAAAAGTGAAATAGTGCAATAAGAGTCTATATGCAAGTTATTGGAATATGATATATTAGATAAATAGATACATTATTTCTAAGTAGCAGCCAGATGAATGTTATGGATGTTGTTTCAACAGTTCAGGTGTTTAACAGTCTAAACCAAGTTTATTGCCTGT